CATACTGTTCTCCATAGTGGCTGTACCAATTCACATTCCGACCAGCAATGCAAGAGTGTTTCCTTTTCTCCACACCGTCTCCAGCATTTATTGTTTGTAGATTTTTTGATGATGGCCATTCTGACTGGTGTAGTTTTGATTTACATTTCTCTAATGATTAGTGATGGTGAGCATCCTTTCATGTGTTTGTTGGCCATCTGTATATCTTCTTTTGAGAAATGTCAATTTAAGTCTTCTGCCCATTTTTGGATTGGGTTTTTTGTTTTATTGATATTGAGCTGCATGAGCTGCTTGTCAATTTTGGAGATTAATCCTTTGTCAGTTTGCAGGCTAATCTTGCACAACTATTGAGAGATTCTCAGGACCGAAATAAACGTCTGGGAGAAGAAATTAAAGAACTTCAGCAAAGGCTTGGAGAAGTCCAGGGCGACAATAAGGTACCGTGAATATTTAAAGGCAAAAACCTCTCCTGAGTAATTTTGTGCCAGAGGTTTATGTATGGTGCATCAGAAGAATGTAATGCATTTGCGGAAAAATTTGTTATAGATTTTTACATTTGCAATGAAAATTCATAGTTTAGCGTTTCTTATCTTTATTACCTTCCCTTCGCGTGTGTGCATGCACACGCGTCTGTGTGTGTTTCTGGGTTGCTCTAAAATATTGTCACAACCCATTGTAGAAGTTTCATTATGTTCAGCTTGGTGCTGAATAACATTGTGGTTGAGGGCAAAATAAAACCCAAATGCTATACTTTCTCCTTTCTATACAAATAATGGATTTGTGGCTCATATGATTTGGAATTATTCACATTCAGTTTTGAATTTTAAGTAGTCATCCTACTAATTATGTTCACATAACCAATTTATTTTATTGCTAAATTTGGCAATTTGTATGGAACATTGCTCAAAATCCACTGCTTGGTATTAATCAAACTCCCCTGTTGGCAACGTTAATTATAAAATATGAACTCATAAACTCCAAACTAAATGTGAGCACTGTCTCTCCCAGCTGAAGCTGTGAACAAAAGTACGATTGAGAAAAGGAAGAAAAACTACCGAAGTTTAATTCCATTGCCCCCAAATAATTTCCCATTTTGCCAATAGATTCAATTTCAGCTTCTTGCCAGAGCCAGCTTTCCCAACAGGGATGGCCTTTGGAGTTTTACTCAAGCAAACTACATGGCGGGGAGGAGGTGCTTTCTTGGGCAATGTCTTTTGAACGGTACCAAATTCCCTGACAAATGATGGGGATGTTTGTTGTTCCTGGGAGTCATTGGTTATTGGAAGGCGCCATTTTGAAAGATGCTCATTCTTTAAAAAAAAAAAAAATGTATGGAGGTGTCTGGATTATCTCGAGGACTCTTCCATGACAAAGAGCAGAGAGGATTGTGTGCTTACTGCTGGCTTAAGGGGCTCAATCTAAGGGCGTACTGGTGGGACTTCCCTGGTGGTCCAGCAGTTGAAACTCCACACTTCCACTGCAGGGGGCATGGGTTCAGTCCCTGGTGGGGAAACTAGGATCCCGCATGCCACGAGGTGTGGTCAGAAAGTAAAAAAAAATAATAATAAGGGCATACTGGGAAGTCTTCTTTACATAGCCTCTTGTCCACTTAGTCTGCCTTTAAAAAAATTTTTTTAAACCTCTTGGATTTAACATACTATATTTGAAAAATATTTCATGACTATTCTCTGTCATGAAATAGGGAGTGGGCGAGAATGCTAAGAAGGGTGCTAATTAACCCTGGACAAGCTAATCGGGCCTCTCAAAAGGATTTAAGCTCTGTAACCTAGGTATTTGGTCAATAATTAAAGGCCAGGCCTTCTTAGGTGTTATCAAATGATAGCACCAGGGCAAGGTTTTCTAGAGAGTAAAATCAAGTATGTGCAATCATTTCCTTTTAAACCCATAAAAATACTGCAGGAATTTTGGAGAAGTTATAAATCCAGAAAGTACTGAAACATTTTGAGATGTGATTTTTGGAGTCATGATTCTTCTTGACTGATTTTTTTTCTTCTTCTTCTTTTCTTTTCTTTTCTTTTTTATTTTCTGAGGTACCCGCCCCCCCACCTCCAACTGTCCTAGACACACCTCTGCCTCATCTTTTGGTCACTTTTAATTGTATCGCCTTGTAGGCCTGAGATATTTTAGGAATTGACATTTGCAACTGATATTTCAGGGAACGAAAAGGAGGGTATGTGTGCATGCGTGTGTGTGTGAGTGTGACACTGAGCGCAGGTCTGGGGCTGCTTGTGCATTGGCACCATCTGAGCTTCATGATTTGCTTGCATTCTGGGTCTTTATTCCAGTAGCTGGACACATTTATCAAACTTGGTTTTCTCACTCAAGGTTTAGAATTTAGTGACTCATATTCATGGCCTGTGAAGTAATTTTCCTGCCAGCAGATGCAGGCAAGATGTTAAAACGTTCAGTAGACCCTGTATCTCAGTCTCCAGTCCTCTCCTCCTCATAAAAGACCAACTGCAGTGAGCCCCAGAGACTCTGTTTATTCTCATTTGCATCTAAAGTTATAGGGCTGGTTTATTTTCATCCCCCTGTGAGTCACGGTCATCCTCCCCCCACCTACCCCCAGTCATCAACATTAAGGCCGGATGACTCATTCAGTAATGACACCAGCCATCTTGAGAAACGCAGAGGCCTCTCTTGAAGGGTGGCCGTGACTGTGTGGTGGAGAATGGGTTAACCCTTCCTTTGCTCTTTTATTCATCGCATCACAGCTCCAACCTTTCCATCGCCTTTGGAATCTAGTCCCACCTCCTTACCATGGTGTGCTTGGTCCTCCATTATTTGGCCCCTCCTGATTTTCCCAGCCACATCTGTTGCCATTAGTCGCCTCACACTTCATTCCTGCAGGACTAATTTCAGCCCCTCAGCTGAGCCATACTGCAGTTGTGCCTCAGGGCCTTTTGCACCTGCTGCCTGCTCTCTGGAACACTCTTCCCCTTACTTCTGTAAACTCCCGCTCACCTTTCAGGTCATAGGTCAAATGTAGCCTTCTCCGACTCTCAGGGGCAGGTCCTGCACACACCCACAGTGCCCTGCTCTTTTCCCTCTGCTTGTGCTTGTTTGGCACCCCTCCCCCAAAGGTAAACTCTTTGCAGGCCAAATTCCTGTATCCGTAGGAATTTGCATCTTAGTTTGCGATGCACAGACATTATTTAATAGATCTTTATTGAAGGAATGGAATAGGATGAATGAATGAATGAGTGAATGAACAAAGGGAATGAAAAAAGGTTCAATAAAGAGGAAGAGGAAAGAAAAAGGAAGAGCACAAGAAAATAGCAGACTGACTGCCCCTGTGGTTGTCATCACTAACTCTCCTTGTGGGGTAAGGAGTAGTTTAGAAACCTGGAGAAAGGAGTTAGAAAAGCAAACTATTCCATCCAAGAAAAAGCAGAAGAAAGCCAAACCTAAGGTGTGAGACCTTAGGAAGCCCCTGGAAAGGTCAGGGGGTCTGATGCTGAGCCTTAGTGGATGTGGGGTAAGGGTCCTGCTCCTAGGCTGGCACAAGCCTGTTAAATTCAATAATACTTAATAACGGATGTCGTGGGATTCCTGACTCCTCCCATTCCGAGCAGAAGGGCTTGTGGCATCACTTTATGAGCAACTATTGAAGTGGAAGTTTTTTATCTCCAAGTTGTCATTTTAACTGATGACCCTTAGCCATATTTTGGGAAGCCCAGATTCTAGATGTTAAGAACATTTAAGAAACAAGGTGATAGGAAATTACTTGCCTTGGCTATTTTAAGGTAGACTAATTTTTCCATTTGTTCAGCTAGAGCCTTGTAACCCTACGTGCCATAAAGCATTTTCACACAGCCTCTTGAAAGATTTGTTACCACCCTGTCTTCCAAGCAGCTTAGCACTCACACAGGGTTGGAGGTGGAGGGTGGGATTCCATGATCAACAAACCTATTATCTCTCTGGGAAGCACCCCAAGAATTTCTTGAGGCTTCTGGACAGACACAAAGGCCCAGTTCAAACCAGAGGAGGGGTGGGAAAGGGGAAGCCTAGTAGACACCCTCCCCTTCCTTGCTAATAATAGCTCTGAAAGGTTAAGTGGGGAAGGGAGAACTCACACCTCCACAAATCACCCTGGGGAAAGCTTTTCATGAGGGTGGATTGCCCAGGGTTCTTTGTGTGGCAGTCTGTGCGGAATAAGGACCAATTACGTGGAAAACCCAGCCAATGCTAGGGCCTCAAGTGTGGAGAGCAACCCACCCAGAGAATTACAGCTCCCCTTCTTGCTCCAGAGGTATGCCTGCTTCCTCTTCTGGGCATTAAGAAAAGAGTGGATTTAGGGAAAGGGGACCGGGGGGAAAAGGAGGCCTCTGAGAACTTAAGGATCAGTAAGAGGCAATCCACAAAACTAGCAGAGCACACTTGAATCACAGATATCCAGAGGTGAGCTGGTGAACCAGCTCTTCTGAAGAGGAAGCCTGGCTGGTAGCACTTTACCAATCTCCGTGGTGTAAATACTGATGCCATGGCATTTAAACATCAGGCTAGCAAAGTGAAGTTACTGAACTGGGAGTTAGAAAGCTTGGGACTCCAGAAAGAGCTAGCTCCAGCCTCCCACTGCCAAGTGGTATAATCTAGAATAGTCCAAGAGGTCCATCTTTAGAAACTGCTAGACCCAGGTTTATATTCTAACTCTGCCAGTTATTATCCGTGTGGCCTTGAGCAAGTCAGTTGTCTCTCTAGACCCCAGTTTCCTCCTCTGTAAAATGGGAGTAATGATACCTCACATAGAATTGCTGTCAGGTTTCATCATTATTCATCAATACATAATTGGGGACTCACTGTGTGCTGGTTAATGTTCTAGGAGCTGTGACTATGTCAGGAATAAGAAAGACAAGGTGCCTGTTCTCACAGAGCTTACAGTCTAGTTGGAGAGACAGAGAATAAGAAAATAAAATACTTATGTAAGATCATCAGACAGTGGTTAGTGCTGGGAAGAAAAGAAAGCAGGAGATTTAATGGTTGGGAGTGTGTGTGTGCATGCAATATTATGTTTATAAAGGGTGTAGCATAGTAAGCATCCAGTAAGCACTCCGTAAAGGGTAAACATTGCTGGTATCTTTAGCTCAACCTGGGTCCAGATTGGCCTAGTGTCCTCTTGTATCAGAGTTCCACCAGGAATCTCAAGGTCTTCCTTTCTGTTGATCAACTGTTTCCAGTGAACCCCGGGGGTATGTGCCTCCCAACAGAGACAGAGATTGGGGGTAAGAAGCCTGGCATCTGGCATCTGGATCCCCAAAACTCAGCCCTCCTTATCACCACCCGACTTTATTATTTATCACCACCCCAAACATGATTGCTTTGGTGTCACGCTCCCAGAAGCTTCCCTGCATTTTGTGTACCCTTGTGGAATAAGCACCTAATAGAACAGGCCGGGAGCAGCATCTCATGTTCCTGC